GTGAGGCACCAGCCCTCTTTGGCAGAGGCTAAAGACCTTGTAAAACTACAAATCCCAGGATTCCATCGGGTGAGGCCACATCAATGCAAGTAGCGTCGAACTGCATGACTATTTCTACACTGTAATTGCACCCCTAGTCTGAGCTTTAAAGGAACCATCCAAGGTGTGGAATCCATTTTGGGGAGAAGGTCCAGGACTCACGGGCATTGTGCAGCTCTCCAGATATTGTTGGGTTGCAATTCCCAGCAGCCTCTTAGCCAGCAGAGCCAATGGTCAGGAATGCTGGGAGTTGTCATCCAGCAACATCCCACCCTTGATCCAAAACTTTGCATAGCTGATTTTAAGTTCAGACTAAAACCTGGAACAGTTGCATTGGTTCCCCAGTCTAGTGGTTATTACTGGAATCTGAAGTACCAATGCTGTAGCAAGTAGTGTGTGAGTGAGATGAAATACAGTATAGACAGACAGATAGCTTGCTGAAGTACTTTCCTTTCATATCTTCCTATATCTACCTTACCACCCAGACACCAGGTCCTGTTTGATCTTGAACACTAAGCAGGGTCAGCTCTGGTTAGTACCTGGATGGGAGACCACCAACCAATAGCAAGTGCTATAGGTTCTATTTCAGTGGAATGAAATAGCCTAGAATGGGTTTGTCTTAGGATCTCCAGTGTGGTGTAATGGTTTGAGCATTGGACTAGGACTCTGGAGACCAGGTTTTGAATCCTGGCTTGGCCATGAAATCCATTGGGTGACATTGGGCAAGTCACACTCTCTCAGCCTCAGAGAATGGCAATGGCAAACCCCCTCTGAAGAAACATGCCCAGAAAATCCCATGATAGGTTTGCTTTAGAGTCACCGTAAGTCGGGAATGACTTGAAGGCACACAGCAACTCCATAAATTGGCAACAACTTGAAGGCTCATCATCCTGATGTTGGGTTTCTATGAGCTCCTGAGGTTTGAGGTTTGATGCACCATCACAGACTGGCCAGCCTCTCTTCCCTTCCATTTACCTGGAGAAAGCAGCTCTCGAACATCGGCACAGACTGGAAGGAAGGGTATTCGCCTTTCCAAAGGTACTTCTGCAGAACGGTTTTGATGGGGGTCTGGGCCAGAGAAGAGAAACTGATGCTGGGCTGAGCTCTGCGAAACCATTTCAGGAGTGGGTTACCTGCAAAGAAGACAACCCAAGACCTGAAACAACCAGACTTTACACTAAGTCTGTGCTTTGCTTAACTGCAAGGAGAAAAGAGAGGTGAAATCTGCTCCAAGCTGTCATAATAATAATAATAATAAAATTTATTTGTACCCCGCCCATTGGTAATCCAATCCGGGCGGCTTACAGTTAAAACATACAGTTCACAATAAAACATACAATATAAACAGACCCCATCCCCCCCTTAAAACAGGATTAAATTAGAACAATATAAAACAAAACTGGCAAAACTGGCTCAATACTCTTCCTTCCTCCCAGAAGATGTATAGGGACTCTGGCTGCTGCTACACTGCAAAATCAATGCAGTTTGACACCGCTTTAACTGCCATGTCTTAATGCTTTGGAATCCTGTAGTTCAGTATCATAGAATTCTAGAGTTGGAAGAGACCCCAAGGGCCATCCAGTCCAACCCCATTCTGCCATGCAGGAACTCTCAATCAAAGCATCCCTGAGAGATGGCCATCCAGCCTCTGTTTAAAGACCTCCAAAGAAAGAGACTTTGGTCCCAAACTTTGGCCCTCCAGATGTTTTGGACTTTTGCTCCCAAAGAGTTCCTGAGTGTTGGCCAAGCTGGCTGGGGCTGCTGGGAGCTGAAGTCCAAAACAACTGGAAGACCAAAGTTCGGGAATCACTGCAGTGGTTTGTTGTTTGTTATGGCACTAGAGCTCTCTGACAGAGAAGGCTCTCTAGCTCACAAAACTACAAATCCCAGAATTCCATAGCATGATGCCATGGCAGTTAAAGCAGTGTCAAACTGCATTAATTCTGCAGTGCAGATGCAGCCTGGAATTTTTAGTTTGTTGTGGCACCAGAGCTCTCTGACACAGAAGCAAAATATCTCACAAAACTATAAACCCCAGAATCCTCCCATAGCATGGAGACATGACAGCTAAAGTCATGTCAAACTGCATTAATTCTGCAGTGTAGATGCAGCCTATGAAGGTAGAGTTCGGCTGTATTGGTCTGGAATATCAATATGCAAAGGGATCTGTGGCACTTTTGAGACTGACTGAGCTTGTAGCATAAGAAGTTGTAGCATAAACTTTCATGAACTTTTCTCAGATCCATGCTACGAAAGCTTGTACTAAAGATGCCACAAGATTCCTTTGCATAGGGAATAATAATAATAGTAATAATAATAATAATAATAATAATAATAATA